AAATGCTAAATGAGATTAACAAATATATTGCTTCTATCTTCATTATAGAGGAGACAGAAACATTCCAGTAATAGCCACAAATCAGGAGGTTAAAGGGTGAGGAGTTTAGCAAAATTAAAGTCGAAGGATGTAGCACTGAACAAACTGATGGAACTATGATTTTAGAAGAGGTGGCTACTAAGGTAGCAGATGTGTTGATAATTTTTAAAAAGAAGAGTGCCAGTGAAAACAGAAAGTAACTGCATAATCCTGAGATGTAGAGGGGTTTAGATGTTATGATGCTTGAGTGGCAGTTAATCTGCAAGTTTAGCTGCACATAATCAAGAAGGTGAATGGGATGCTATCCTTTGTTATGAAAAGAATTGAACATAAAAGTAATGACGTTATGCTTCAGTTATATAGAGTATCGGTAAGACCACATCTCGAATAGTTCTGGTCTCCTTGTTTAAGGAAGGATATAAATGCATTGGGGGCAGTAGAGAGGAGCTTTACTAGTCTGATACCTGGAATGAACAAGTTATGGTGATAGATTTGGACAAAATAGGCTTGTTTCCACTGGTGCTTAGAAGAGTGACGTGATTAAACTGAATGAGATCCTGAATAGTCTTAACAAGGATGTGGAAAGGATGTTTCCACAGGTGGATTAGTCTAGAACTAGGGAGCACTTTTAAAATTAGGGGTTGCCCTTGTAGGATAGAAATGGAGGAGATTTTTTTTCTCTCTGTGGCTTGTACAGCTTTGGAGCTCTCTGCCTGAGAGGTGGTGGAGCTGGAGTCATTAACTATTTTTACGACTGAGGTAGACTGGTTCTTATTAGGCAAGTGAATCAAAAGTTATTGTCGGTTAATGGAAGTGTGGAGTTCAAAACACAATCATATCATCCATGATCTTATTGTGTGGCAGAAGCGATGAACTGTCTATTTCTGCTTCAATTTCAAATGTTTGTCTTGTACTTCTGTATTTATACTCCTGCTTCTGTCTTCTATGTTTCCTTATCCAAATAAATGTATAATCTTTGAAAGAAAAACTTCAAAGAATAAGTTATTGTCAGCAGATAGAACCATTATTGTTGATAACAATATCAGAAGCTTTGCCTCACTTCACACCTTTTAATTGTCCCCAAATAAATGAAGCCATCCATGAATTGTATCAGTTGAAACAGATGGTGAGACATTTGCTTCTTCAGTTGGGGTTGATCTTATGAATGTTTGGCTGAACTCCAAGAGTCACTAATGGAGTAGCTCAGCAGGGTGTGTGTTTTCACAGGCGGAAGTGAAGATTTTGCCTGGCTTTGCTTCAAAGACTTGTGCTCCCGAACTACTTGTGTTCCAACCAAGCTGTTCCTTTACAGGTATCACATTGACATCAACCAGATAATGTGGAAAATTGCCCAGATATCTGCAGTCCCCTAAAAGGAGGGCAAATCCAATCTGCTCAGTTATATCCCCAACTGTTTACTTTTAATCATTAGCAAACTGATGGAAAGTGTCATTGACTGTGCAATCAAATTATATTGTTTACCCTTGATTAGTTGTGATCCACTAACATCACTTTGTTCTAAAACCTCATTATGGGCTTTATCATACCATGGTCCAAGAAAGCTGACTTCCAGATCTGAAATGAGAGTGGTTATTCTTGGCATCAAGATAGCATTTTACCAGGTAGGGATGAAGCAGCCCTTGCAAAAGAACAATGATTAATCTCTTCACAGACAACGTTGGAGTTATCATCAGGAAAGATGATTTCGGTTTTTGCAGGCCAGTCATCTCGGCCACAGGACTTTGCAGGTGTTCCTCAGCGTAAACACCCCCAAATGTCAATGTTTCTTCATCTGCTTCATCAATGACCACTTCAGTATGGAGGATGTTTGCAGATGATTGCAGCAAGTCCATTGCCATTCTCAATTCTTCAGACTGTGAAGCAAACCAGGACTACAAGTGTCAGCATCCAGCCATTGGCTGATTAATGGCAAGTAACATTCATTCCACATAAATGTGGGAGCTGTTCGCCTAGTTGAATGATCACTAGACTATTAATCCAGAAACCCAGGTCATGTTCTAATGACCTGGACTGGATGAGCCGAATGGCCTACTTCCACACTGTAGGGATTCAATGATTCTCTGGACCCAAGTTCGAATCCTACCATGGCAGACGGTGATGTTTGACTTCCTAAAAAAAAATTGGAATAAAATAATGATGTCTATGAATGTCAATTGTCAGGAAAAATCCATCTGTTCCACCACTGTCCATTAGGGAAGTAATTTGCTGTCCTTAACTGGTTTGGCTTAAATGTGATTCCAGATTCACAGCAATGTGGTTGACTCTTAACAATTAGGGATGGACAATAAATGCTGGCCCAGCCAACAATGCTTACATCCCATGAACGGGGGGAAAAAACACGCCAGGCATTGATCACCTCTAACAAGAGAGAATCTAACCATTTCCTCTTGATGTTACATGGCATTATCATCACTGCTCCAATATCAGCATCCTGGAGGTCACCATTGATCATATTAAAACTGCGAGTCCAAGTTCAGTTCAGAGGTTGGAGCTTTTGAGCAGTTCACCTCCTAACTTTCCATATACACTGTCCACTATATGGAAGTCACGACTGTGATGGAGTATTCTGCACTTACCTGATTGAGATCCAGTAATATTCAAACTTGCCATCCAAAACCAGTAACCAGCTTGTTTGGCGTCCTATCCCCCATTATAGCATTTGTTTCCTCCAACAGTAATGTGTGGTGGCAACAGTGTGTTCTATCTACAAGACATGCAGCAACAACTTGCCAAGGCTTCTTCATTGGCACCTTCTAAACCTGTGAACTGTACCACCCAGAAGAACAAAGGCATCAAAAACGTGCAACACTGCCACCTGCCAGTTCCCCTCTAAGTCTCACACCATCCTGATTTGGAGCTGTATTTGCAGTTCCTTTTACAGAATCAAAATCCTGGAACTCCTTCATTAACAGTACTTGGGTGTACCAACATGCACTGCAGATTTTCAAGGTGGTTGCACATCACTATTTTCTTGAGGGCAGTTCATGGTAGTTAATTAAAGCTACCTTGCCAGTAACGCTCCTACGGGCGAAAGACACAATTGGAAATTAATGGCGAGTTTTCAGATAATGTCGAGAAGAAGCATGTGGGTAAAAAAAATAGGTGGGGATAAGATAAATGTAATTGTGCAGGAGCATAAAGAGAAGGTGAATCTCTGTCCATGAATGGATAGAGATAAGTTGGAATCAGGCAAGGGCTGTCCCACAAGTTGGCATAGGATGGTGTGAAGAATTAATCTAAAAGATTGATTGAGGTCAAGAAGAAAGCCTGGTATTCAAATGTCATTGTCACAGTGATATTGGTGACTTTGCCAAGAGCTGTTTTAATTCATTTGTAGCAGTAGAAACCTGATTGGAGAGACTGAAACATGCAGTCCTGGGAGAGCGATGGGCCAGATTTGAGAGATGACAGTACTCTTAACCAATTTGGAGAAGATATGGAGATTGGAAATGGAATGGTAGTTTCCAAGACAAGAGCATACAAAAGTTTTTAATTTTATGGAGGGGATGCAGTTAGCAGATGTGAAGGAGAGAGAGAAAACTCCTGAAGAGAGAGAACCATTTTAAAAGATATCAGCTGAAATCGTAGCTTGGAAGAGATTTTTGATGGCTGTGATTCCATGAGAATAGTGTCAAGAGAACTGGAAATTGGCCTCGAGATAAAGTTGGGGGTGGGGGGGGGGGGGGGGGTCGGGAACGAGGAGATATTACAGAGAAACTATAGAAAGATACAATGTAAAAGCTGGACCATGGGAGAGGGTTGGCACTATGGGCAGTGGAAGGGAGGGAACCTCCAAGACAGGAGCAGACATCAGCCATGAATGATGGGTCATCTTCTAGCCTGCCCCACCATTCAACATAATTATGACTGATCTGTCCTAGGCCTCAATTCCTCAATGTTTTAAGTGGCAAAGGCACTGAATGGCTGGTCTCAATTTAGTACACAGTCGTTCCTGAGCTGCTTACCCTTGTTGGAGGTGAGGGAGGAGGAGAGTCAGACGGAGCTTTAAGAAAATAACTTGCTGTAAACTGAAGAAGCCACGAGGTTGTTATGTTTGCTTTCCAGGAAGATCCTGGAAGAGTGAGCGGCTCTCACAGGTGAGAACAGGACCCATTTGTTCTGCAAGTTCTGCTGCCAGATCTGTGACTGGCTTAAACCAGTTGTCTGCCTTATCTGTTCAAGTGTATAGTTTGGACTTAAGGGAGTAGTGATGAGGTCTGCGCTAGATGAGAATAATAATAATCTCCCAATAAGTTCTCTGTAAAAGTTGGTAACAAAATAGTAGTCAGTTGACCTTCAATATTGCAATTGATTTCTAATATTCAACATCTACCTTTTATAGAATTGTACAGCACAGCAGAGGCCCTTTGGCCTGTTGAGTCCATGCCACCAAAAAATGCACTACGACTTACACCAGGCTCACTTTTCCGCACTAGGCCCACAGCCCTGAATGTTATGACACCTCAAGTGTTCATCCAAATACGTTTTTAAAAAGTTTTGAGGTTACCCGCCTCAACTGCCCTCCCAGGGAGTGTGTTCCACAACCCCAAACTTATTTTCAAAGAGTGCATCAGTAGTGAGGTGGCTGTCGTCATTGGGATAGTTACCTGCTTGTAAATTTAGGCTGGCTGATGACAAAATTTTATATGCGAGTAATCTGTCGTCATCTACAGCAAGATGAAAGTATGGTTTACATATATTATGATTCACATTACAGCAATTGGTAATACAGTCTGGCAGTGAGATAATGGATAGTGGCAAATAAAGTTGTTCATGTTGAATTAGATTTTGATTTATCTTTTATTGTTTGGCTCTTCTGTTGAATGCAAGCTGTAAACAATTTTATGGTTTAAAGCAATTCTTTTGTCAATGTGTCTATTAATTTAATTCAATGTTTGTTTCTCTCTCTCTCTCTCTCTCTCTCACAAACACATACATAGGTTGAACCGGTAAACAAAAAGTAACTTGAGCTCCAGGATTTCCAACAGTAGTTGTGGCTGCAGTGCTGTTTGGAAGAATGTTAGTTAACAACATAAAGAAGTCAAGTGGTAACTTCATAGCTTAATTGAAGGCCACGGTGCAACTGTTACCATATACGCCAAGCCACCATCAGTAGCCATGAGCTCAGAGGTGAAAAACATGTCGCCTGCTCACCAAATATCAACTCCGACTCATAGGAGTGCATCATCATCTTCATCCTCTCAAAGAGAGAGTAGACCGGTAAGGAAATATTTTTAAAAATCCTGTTGTCTATACTCCTGTTGATCTATCAGGTGTTAAAATACATTTGAGTATGTCTGCATTTTCAGCTATTAATGGAATTGGTGCTTATTTCCAGTAAATTCATACATGCTATAAAGTGCAGTGGACATTAATTTTGATGAGACAAATTTATGTAAATTGGACTTATTTTTATTTGAGAATAGATTTGAGGAACTGTGTCATAAGGAATGATTGGAACACATTGTACATGCTAATTTTTCCTAAGATTAAATAGTTATTCAAAATATATTTTTCAGAGTATTGTACCTGCTGTTTTGAAGCTACCTTTGAATATTTTAAATATTTGTCTTTGAAATCCTAGGTGCAGTATTCCTGAAAAATTGTTTTCACATTACTTGTTTTTAACAATAAAAGCTGTAGCTTTATGAAAAGGTTCTGCGTTAAAAATATTGAGGATTACATTTCGAGAGTTTCATTCACAGATGGTCTAATGGTCCTCTCATGCACTTTTCAATAGTTTGGGCTGAGAGCTGATCAGTTGCTCATGCCATTATAGGTGGATAAATACAAGATTAGAGGCAAAAGTGGATGTTAAATATATTCTGTGTCTGAGTGGGGGGATTGGTATGGTGGCATACATGGAGAATTTGCTGGATGGGGTTGAGCTTTAATTTATTGCTATCATCCCTGTTTGGTTTACAGTGCCAATAAATGTAGCAACAAGTATTCAAAGTTGCCTTGTTAAATTAGCTGAGTTGAAATTCCTCGAGGTCGTATTGGAGCTCACCAGTGCCCTTGTCAGGCTATAGTTTGGATACTGTCTTCAGTTCTGGTACCATGGAGGTCAGTCTGAACCCTAGAGGCTGAGCATTGGAAAAAACTGGCTGTGACAATGTGACAGAATGATAACTTGATTCGATTTGACTCTTTAGCTTCAAAGTGATGCCTCATAATTTGTAGTATTTCTGAGATGCCAGGGTACAAGTGCACAAATTCTGGAATGTGAAAGGCTAATTAATTAAATCATATAGCACAGAAGGAAGCTATTTGATTGCTATGACTGTACCATCTCTTTGAAAGAACTGACCAACTTGATCCCATATTCTAGTTTTTCCCCCGTAACCCCGCAAATTAGTTCTCTCAAAATACGTGCGTAAATGCCTTATGGAAGTTCTTATTGAAGCGGACTTCACCACCCTTTCACAGTAGTATGTGTCAGATGTTATAAATCCTCTATGAACAATTTTTCATCACTTCCCTTCTATCTAGTTCTTTTACTAATTATTATAAATCTGCAAACTCTTCTTGCTGATCCACTTGTCAGAGGAAATGGTTCTTGCCACTTACTCGATCAAAATACCCCATCATTTGGATTATATCAATTGTACCTTCCCCAATCCTTCCAAGCTTGAGGAAAAACCAAATTTCACCTTCTTCAATCCCCCCACACTTGAGGTCACTCATCTTTGGTAGCACTCTGTAAAAGTCTCATGTTCACTTCTCATGGCCTTGCTATCCTTCCTAAAATGCCAAGAATTGTGTGCATAAAGCTCTGGTTGAGACCCAACTGTGACCTCTATGGGTTTAGTGTAAATTCCTTCCTCTTTGTTCCTGAGCAGGGTGAGGTACCACCTTCTCTTGAGGCATGGTGATCCTCAGGTTAAACCACTATCAGTCTCTCTCTCTCTCTAATGATCAGTTAAGTATCATTAATGATTAAAGAAGAAATCAGAACAGCTATGCAACAGGTTGCATGTTTTTAAAGAAACAAATATAATTTACTGTATATCAATGTAAACACTATTGACTGAACGCTATAGTTTATAGAGATTTATGCTATAGACCAAAAGATATGGGGCAGAATTAGACCATTCAGGCCGTCTAATCTGATTCGTTATTCAATAAGATCACGGCTGACCTGAGAATCCCGAACTCCTCTTTCCTGCCTTTCCCCCCATAATCCTCGATTCCCTTTCTGATTTACAATCTCTCTATACCAACCTTCAATATACTTAACAATGACAGAAGAAATTGCAGCTCATCTCTGTCTTAAATGGGTGATTCCTTGCTCCAGGATTATTCCTGCTGGATCTCAACCCGCCCACAAAAGGAACCAATCTCTCAGCGTCTACTTTGTTAAGCTCCCTAAGGATCATTTATGATTCAGTAAAGTAATCTGTCATTCCTCTTAACTCCATGAGTACAGGCCTAACCTATTTAAACTATCCTCATTAAATAAATCCCTCCAAACCCAGGTTCATTGTAGTGAACCTTCTCTGGACTGCCTCTAATGCCAGTTTATTTTCCCTTAGATAAGAGAACCAAAACTGTTAGCAGTATTCCAGGTGTGGTCTAACTAGTGCCTTCTATAGTTTTAGCAAGACTTCCCTATTTTTGTTCTCCATTCGTTTTGAAACATTCCAATTGTCCTCCCTATTACCCACTGAATTTTGATGTTAGCTTTTTGTGATTCATGGGCAAGGACTTGTAAATCCCTCTGAGCTGTAGCTTTCTGCAGTTTGTCTTTAACTTAAAAAAAAAATTCAGCTCCTCTATTCTTCTTGCCAAAGTGCACAACCTCATATTTTCATACACGATATTCCATCTGCCAATTTTTGTCCACACACGCTCATTGGTGTCATCTTCACCACTTACCTTTCCACCCATTATCGTGTTATCCACAAACTTGCTACAGTACAATGAATTTCCTCATCAAAGGCTTTGTTATACATTGCAAAAAATTATCGCCCCAGCACTGATCCTTGTGGCACTCCATCATTTACATATTGCTTCTATCTTGAAGAAAATGCCCTCTTTATATCAACTATCTGTTTTCTATTAGCCATTCCTCTATCCATGCTAATATACTGTCCCAATACTTAAGTGAGATAATGTGTGATACCTTTATCAGATGCCTTTTGGAAGTCCAAATCTGTTACATCTACTGGTTCTCCCTTTATCTATCCAGTTGTTACGTTCCCAAAGAATTCAAATAAATTTTTCATGATTTTTCCTTTGTGTAGCTGATTCTTTCTGATTATGTTACATATTTCTAAATGCTCTGCTATTTTATACTAGATTCTAACATTTTCCCAATGATGGATATTATCCTCCATGGCCTATAGTTACTGTTTTATGTCTCTTTCCCTTCTTGAATAGTGGTATTAAATTGGCAGTTTTCTATTGCTCTGAGACGTTTCCATATTCTAAGTATTCTTCAAGATCACTACAATGCATCCACTATCTCTGTAGCTACATCCTTTAATATCTTAATGCAACCCATCAGGGCCAAAGGACTTCTCAGCCTTTAGCCCAATTTAGTTTTCCTCATACTTTTTCTCTAGGGATAGATAATTTATCTATTTCATTCCCCACCCCACCTCCCAAAAATGCCTTTTAGCACCTTGATTATTTAGTATTTTTGGAATAATATTAGTATCTTCTACTGTGAAGACTAATGCAAAGTATTTATTCAACTCTAGGAGATAGTAGGAACTGCAGATACTAGAGAATCTGAGATAACAAGGTGTAGAGCTGGATGAACACAGCAGGCCGAGCAGGAAAGCTGACGTTTCGGGCCTAGACCCTTCTTCAGAAATGGGGGAGGGGAAGGGGGTTCTGAAATAAATAGGGAGAGAGGGGGAGGCAGATAGAAGATGGATAGAGGAGAAGATAGGTGGAGAGGAGACAGACAGGTCAAAGAGGCGGGGATGGAGCCAGTAAAGGTGAGTGTAAGGTGGGGAGTTAGGAGGGGATAGGTCAGTCCAGGGAGGACGGGCAGGTCAAGGGGGCGGGATGAGACTAGTAGGTAGGAGATAGGGGTGGCGCTGAGGTGGGAGGAGGGGATAGGTGGGAGGAAGGACAGGTTAGGGAAGCGGGGACCAGCTGGGCTGGTTTTGGGATGTGGTAGGGGGAGGGGAGATTTTGAAGCTTGTGAAGTCCACATTAAGCAGATGTTCACCTGCACATCCGTTAATGTGGTATACTGTATCCGCTGTTCCCGTTGTGGCCTCCTCTACATCGGGGAAACCAAGCGGAGGCTTGGGGACCACTTTGCGGAACACCTACACTCGGTTCGCACTAAACAACTGCATCTCCCAGTCGCAAACCATTTCAACTCCCCCTCCCATTCCTCAGACGACATGTCCATCCTAGGCCTCCTGCAGTGCCACAATGATGCCACCCGAAGGTTGCAGGAACAGCACCTCATATTCTGCTTGGGAACCCTGCAGCCCAATGGTATCAATGTGGACTTCACAAGCTTCAAAATCTCCCCTCCCACTACCGCATCCCAAAACCAGCCCAGCTTTTCCCCGCCTCCCTAACCTGTCCTTCCTCCCACCTATCCCCTCCTCCCACCTCAGCCCCACCCCCCTTCTCCTACCTACTAACCTCATCCCGCCCCCTTGACCTGTCCGTCCTCCCTGGACTGACCTATCCCCTCCCTAACTCACGACCTTACACTCACCTTTACTGGCTCCATCCCCGCCTCTTTGACCTGTCTGTCTCCTCTCCACCTATCTTCTCCTGTATCCATCTTCTATCTGCCTTCCCCTCTCTTCCTATTTATTTCAGAACCCCCTTCCCCTCCCCCATTTCTGAAGAAGGGTCTAGGCCCGAAACGTCAGCTTTCCTGCTCCTCTGATGCTGCTTGGCCTGCTGTGTTCATCCAGCTCTACATCTTGTTATCTCTATTTATTCAACTGGTCTGCCATATCATGAGTCCCCACTGCTATTTGCCCAGCCTCATTCTCAAAGGGACCGATATTCACTTCGGTTCTCTCTTATGTTTAAAGAGGCTGTTATGGTCTGTCTTGATATAACTTGTTAATTTATTCTCAAAGTTTATTTTCTCCCTTTTGTTTGGTCTCTCTTGTTGGCTGTTAAAACTTCCCCAGTACTCTGGCTTACTGCAAATCTTTCCTACATTTTTTTTTTCTTTTAATTTGAAACTATCCCTAACCATAGTTAACCATGATAGGTTTTTCCTCCTTCTA